AGGCACCTGGATGTTGTGCCTGGAATACTCACAAATTGCGTGGCCTGTAAAGTTGGGAAAGCCCTGTTCATGGCTAAGTCATCCCTTCCCCCAGGCTAATTAAATGTGGTGTTTGAAATGTTAAAAATATCCAAATGCAAAAACTGTGCCAAAGGCACAATCATCTGATAGCGACTTCTAACGTTACCCTCCCTTCCTCCTTCCCAGCGGCGATGGGTGCAGGAAACCCGGCGTGGACGGGGATGGTCTCCATGGGAAAGGCTCAGCAGGTGCAGAAATGGAAGGATTTGAGGGTCCTCACCCTGCTCTGAGGGGAGGGCTCAGCTGTGGAGAACAGAGGTGGTCTCGTGCATCTGGGTTTTTTTTGGAGTCATAAGGCCAGTGCCACAGTTTGTGGTTTCACCATGAAGTGCTTTTGTTAGGTACTTTCACAATGTTTCCTTTTTTTGTTGTTAGGATATTACTCCTTTATCTTGCTAAAAGAGAATTGTGTGGGTAGGAGATGATTATTCCACTTGCAGTTATTCTTTTTTGTTGCTCAGCCTTGCACACTCAGGCCTTTCTTCCAGCCAGGACAGATTTTCTTGGGCTCCTGTGCATTGACTTCTTCTCTGCTCTGGCCCTTCCTGGTTTACACAAGTTGCTTGACTTCTGTGGCTCAATTGATCACATGTAAATTAGAGTGATAGTCCCTGTATTAGGAAGAGTAGTTGGAGGCTTAATTAGGTGCCTAATGTTTGTAAAACATTTTGAACAGTGTGAGGGCTGTGCAGGCTCTCTGCATTAATGGGCACACACAGACATTTCACTGGAACCTGATTTAGTGCAGCCTTTGTGGTGTGTCTGTCCTGGCTTCTGTAAAAAACAGCAAAAATAAGGGAAACCCTTCTCTGAATCGTTGCTGTAAGTCAGCATCAGGGGTTTCCATGTTCTGTGCTTCTGTTCAGGAATTACAATGCCACGAGATAACTTTGCTTCAGGACTCACCTTTGTCTAAATGTGTGATTCTGCTCTCTGGCTTAATAAAAATAGGAAATTAGCAAAACTGGAGATTTGTATTTCAGAGTGACTGTAACTACTGCACTGAAACAGCTGAAAACATGCCAAATGGCTCACTCACAGGTCGTTTAAGGCACAGGAATAGTGTGGTCACAGGCTAATTATTGTCTGCTGCTGCATAAATTGTGGGGATCCTTATGTGGGTAGGAGGAAGGATTTGGGTTGATGTAATTGCATTAATTTTATCTGCTGGGTAGTGGTGGTGTTAGTGGCAGTTTGTACGCTGGGGAGCAGCTGCTGAGCAGGGCTTGATTTGTGGTGTGGTCAGAGACAAATCCACACCCAAAAAGTCACTTTAAAAAAAAAATAAAAATAAATTTTACAGGTTTCTAAGCTACGAGGAGAGTTTTTCCCTGGGCCCAGCTGGTCTGTGAGCTTGGGGTCACTGGAGTTCTGCCAGGGAGAATTTCCTTGTCATCCTCCTGGCAGCTCTAGAGTCTGTTTGATGTGCAACACTTAAGGTTGGATCTTTCTCCTCAAGTCTTCAGCATTGGAGGATGTGGAACCCTCTTAAAAAGAAACATCTCAAATCATTTGGAAAATATAATTATGAGATGATCTGCACAGGCTGTTGCTTTTACAGTGGTTTTGCTGCAGATGTCAGCTGTGTGGATGCCTCAGCAGGGAATCGTAGCTCACCTTAGGAAAGCATTGAACGGGAAATTGGCCACAGAGAGGAAATTGTGCAGAAGTCAAGAAGGATTCAGACCTTGCCTGACTTTGGGTCACTAATTAGTTTGGCAGGTGTTGCCTGGAGGTTGTCAGGTGTTGGTGATTAGCAGGAGTCTCTCCACCCCTGTTTGCCTGAGATGAGATGTGTCTTGGTCAGGTGAATAAATGTCATTTCTTGATTGAGTTCACGGGCAGCGCTGGCAGGAGCTGGGGCTGAGTCGCTGTAGGGTCACTGCTGGTGGGCAAGTGTCTTTATGGTGTATCCTCAAGAAGGTTCCACTATTCCTGTTCTGCTTGTAAATGGGCACTTGAGTTTCCCAGGCTGTAATCCAGCCTATTTTACTAGTATGTAATTACTTTACGATCTTGTGATAATATGCAGAGCAGCAGAAGCTGCTCACATAGTTGTTTACTCTCCCATCCCTTTGCAGAGTATTTAAATGCTCTGAATTCGGCAGTTGCTTTATACAGTGTAAAAAGCTGCTCACTACCTACAATTCCAGCCTTTTTCTCTGACACGAGATGGTTTTTTAGGGTGAATCATGTTGTAGATGCACTTGTTTTACCATGTAATTCTTAAAGCTGGCTGACTTCCTTCGTTTAGGCCTTTGTGGAAAAAAACCAATGCCTAGCTGGTTCTGGACCATTCCGTGAGTTCTCGTGACAGCTTTGGTGTGATCCTGCCAGAAATGATTGTGCCATTGCTATGAATTAGGTTAATACCGAGCTGGGCGAGTGAGGTGTGTTACATAACTGCGCAATTAAAGTTCGGGGCTCGTCAGGCTGTTTTCACTTAGAGCTGCAGGGAGAGGTTGGGTTCGTTCCTCTGATTTCTTGTGACGTATTTTGGTTCTTGTGGCTTTTGATCTGCCACGTTTGAGTTTGTGCTGGGGTATGGGGGATGTTGTGGGGTGTGTGCAGAGGATAGCGTGGGGGGTTCGTGTGCCCTCTGGATTAAATGTCCACTCTGAGGCAGACCTTTGCTTTTCCATTTCAGTTTCAGAGTCTTTAGACAATCCGTGCAGATATTCGCTTGTACAGACTCGAGATTTCCCTGGTTTGGGGACATGCTGTGAGTAAATGTCATCGTTTTAATTTCTGTATTGCAGTTAGTAGTAAACTCACTCCGTGTTCAGTGGGGGGTGCTGATGTGCAGGGAAATGTGGTGCCTGGTGAGCTGTTCTGCTTTGGGCTCTGCTGCAGTCGGGTCAGCACCAGGCTCTCCAGCTGCAGAGGGTGATCACGGTGTATGTTAGATGTGATTTTGTGTTTAAGGACCTGCTTTTCCACCTGCAGCCTTCCTCCAAGCACCAGAGACAACACACAAACCCTACTGATGGGAGATCATTTATATGTGTCCCCTTCACTCTAAATCCTCAGTCAGAGTAAAACCCAACCTGGAGGACGGATCTCTAAGGCATCCAGGGAAGTGTACACTGTGTTTGGCTTCTCTGCTGAGTCCTGAAAGAAGAGAAGGGACAGTACAGTGTGTCCAGTGGCAAATATGACAGCTAATTTTAAGCTCTAGACGTCTGCCTGCTGTAAACTGTATTGAGATCACCAAACTTATTTTACCCAAGCAGCTGAGTAACATCTGACAGCTGAGAATCTGGACTGGATTTCAAACAACAACAAAAAATACTGGATAAAGGCACTATATCTATTAAAGAAAAAGTCTCTGCAAGAATTGCTTAGTAAAGGCAGGTGTGTTCCTTTTGTCAGAGCATCCCAAAAAAAGATTACTTGGCCAGGACAGGATTTTGGAGCCTTGCTTAAACCCTAGATAGTTTTTTTTGGTCACAGTTTCATAATGGAGGCAGGAAATGAAGTAGGAGTGAGGGTCGAGAGAGCTGAGAGCGAGCGAGTCTGCCACCTGCTTGAATGCAGGATTTCTGTAGCTGGGTGGTAGTACCTGTGTGCACAGGGTCTGTGCCAGCACCCCCTGACCCAGGAGCTCCTGTTTCTACAGATCCCCAAAGTTTCTGACTTAGAAAATGAGGTGTCACAAGGTGGGTCTGCACGTGTCTCGTTAGGAGCTGGAGTGGGAGGGTGGAACCACGATCGGCGCTCGAGCGGAGGCAGCGTGTGGAAGCTCTGAGGAGGAGGCAGAAGTTGTTAGGCGAGCGTGGGATCGTGTCAGTGGTGCGGGGATGGCTGCTTCTCACAGCTCTTCTGTTCTGGGAACGTGCAGGGGCTGAGCTTTCAGCCAGGCATGGGGAATAGAGGGAGCCTTGTGATGGTTCCTTCTCCCACCAGGCAGGCAGCGAGCTCCTTGCACGGCGTGCGAGGGGAGCATCAGAACACGCGGCTGCTGCTTGTCTTGGTGGCAGGTCCTCGAGGGTGACAGGGGCCAGAGCATTTGAAGAATTACAGGTCTTGACAAATGTTACAAAAGAGAGAAAAAATTAAGTAGCTCCCAGGGAGAGAATTACTCCAAACAGTCCCCTCCTTGTGAGCCCACGGTGCACGCAAGCGATGAAAGACGGGCTTCTTCCCGAGACCCTTGGTGCAACTCTTCCCTGTCTTCTACATCCAGCGTGGAGAGGCCTTGAGAAGACACCAACCTCCCCTCACAAAGGAACCCATTCAGCCTGGATCGTATTTTTAGCAAAGCACGATTCTTCTTCAATTTCAAAAGTAGCAAGTGGGGAATGCAGCCTACATCAGTGCGAGATGCAGAATGATCTCATTCAGGCTGCAGCATCTGTTTGGATTGAAACAATTACCAGTGATATCAGGAGATCTGCATTTTTCTCTTGTTGTAGCCAGGGACTGTGGTAAACAAGAGCTGTTGTCTCTGTGTGCTTTCTATGTCAGTGGAGCACAACTGGGGAGAGATGCTTCTGTTCTGTGTTGGGGTTCTTGGACCACGAGCTTTGCATTTCCAGCAACTGGCTTTGCCTTCGTGCTCTGGAGGCAATTTGCTTTTTCTTTCCCAGTCTTTTTTTCATCATTAAGTCATGTGGGCGATAGAAATACCTGGGTACTTATATTCTGCTAGTGTTATCTGAGGTGCTGTGACTTGTTGATATATCAATCTGCTAAAGTAAATGCTTAAAAGGAAAATAGACCACTAAAAAAAAAAAGGAGCAGAAAACAGTAATTCTTGTGTTTGCCTGTTTTCTCTCGCAGCTCAGAATTCGGGTGTTTGTGAAGGTTGGTTTTGCCATCTATCTGTTTTCTTTCTCCTGTTTTCCCAGCTCTCCCCAGCAGTTTGTTGGCAGACAGGATGCCCTGGCACCCAGCCCTTTAGCTGTATCTATTAGTCGATGGTTCCTCATAAGGTGACAGGTAAAATTGCTAAAAGGCTGGTGACTCAGGGGCTGCTCGGAGTGGTGGCTCAGATGAGTTCTGCCATTAATTCTGTTCACCCTTTTCTTTAGACTATACGTCAGAGAGCTTCTGAGGGAAGGAACTTTAATAGGATCTGTGATTTTCTTTTCTATTTATGATGACAGAAAAAAAGAGGATGGAGTTTTGGCCAAACTACTTAGTGTCAGGGTTCCCCAAGTGCAGAATTGCTGATTGTTTTTTTCCCATTGTATTTTACGTGTTTGATCTGTAACATTCAAAAGAGGTCCTTGTCTTTGGATGTGTTTTAATCATGCAAAGTGTGAGTCCTGCTGCTTGTGACACGGATCCATCTCACAGGCCCATAAGTGTCCCTGGCTCTCGTGGCCCCAGGGAAGGAGGAGAGCGGAGGTTTGGGGGCTGGCAGTGTGCTGGCTTCTGGGGAAGAGTCGGGCTGCAGGATGAGCACCTTCCTTGGGCGAGGTGGTGGCAGGGCCAGGGCAGAGGAGGCACAGCAGGGCAGTTTCCCCTCTCAGATGGGCAGGTGTGTCCTTTGCTGGAACAGGAGTGGGTGCAGCGGGGATGAACTGGGCTGGCAGTGTGACGAGACCCTTTGGAGGCAGCGGGGTGCGCGTGCCGAACCATTTCTCTGCCACCCTGTTACTTATGAATCTTATTTCAAATAAATACAGCCCCGTGGCTGTGTGTTCCTTCCATGGCTTCAGCAGTTACAGCAGGGAGAGCTGCACCTGGAGAGTGGCTGGTGGCAGGAGTTTAAAACTGAAAGTGAAGAGCAGGGCAGACCCGTAGCTGGGCCCATGGGCCCTCGGCGCAGCAGCTCCCAGTGTCTATTGTTTTGCCAGCTGGCAAAACTGGGATGGTTCAGTGAAAACAACCCCTTGCACGAGGCGGTTGTGTGGGAATGGCCAATGGCGAGCCCGAATGGGGCTCAAAACATGTGAACTTGTTGCAACACAATTCCCTTTGTTCTTCTCCTGGTAGGTTTGCTGAACGTTGCTCTCTTCGCTGGTGGGGTCGTTCCTCCTCCTCCTCCTCCTCCTCCTCGCTGCCTTTGCCGAGGTGCCCTGGGAGTGCTGGGGGGCTCTGGCCACACTCCCCCCTCACAAGGGCACCTCGGCTCGAGTTCAGCCTGTCCTGGCTTGGCAGCTTCCAGTGGATAAATGCATTTCTCACATAAGGATCTGATCTCTACCTGCTTCCAAAATAAAAATGCTCAGTGGTGGTCGGTTCTCACGAGTCTGCTCTGCGCCCCCGGTCACTAAAATGCAGGACTAGGCAGGGATCTGTCCTTCAGCCTTTGTGTTATAGACTGAATGAGGCTGCTCACTGTGGTGTGTTCTGACAGTTCATCCTCTGTAGTAAGAGCCCCTTTTCCACTCTTTGGGTCTGTTGTAGCTACAACCTTCAATGAAGACAGTCAACTTCTATCCTGTTCGGTTTATTAAGAATGTGATTTGTGAAAGCAAAGTCTCTGCTTTCTCTGGGCAAAACCTGGTCCTGAAACCTGCCCAAAGCTGTGTCTAATTTTTGAGAGTTCTGTAAAGGTGAACAGAAGTACAGAAGTGGATCGCTTGCATTTCACCTCCTGTGACAGATTAGTCTAAACATTTTAAAGATGAAGATTATCTCTGTGTTTATAGTACCTGGTGGACTGGAAACTGGCTCTGACTCGGGCCTTTGTTACAGTAGTGTTGCCAGGCACAGAAATAAAGCTCCTCAGCCCCAGAGCAACTGAACAGCTCATGCTTCCTCTGGAGCTGGATGGAGGTATTTGTATGGAAAAAGTCCTGTGACTCTCCAGTCCTGTGTTCTCTGATTTGCCTTGGGTTTGTTGAGCTTGGATTTCCCTGTAAATAGCTTTCCTTCAGCAAGTGCTGCAGAGAAACACCTTCTTTTCTGAATCCTTCTTTCGAGAAGATGCTGAAGCCCAACACTTCAGCACAGCCTGGAACTGACCTGTGTTTGAGCCTGCAAGTACAGCTCTGCTCTGGCAGACTGGGGGGTCACCCAGCTATTTTAACTTCCTTGGCTTCTGCTCCCTTGCTTCAGCAAAGGCCGTGCTCAGAGCAGTTGGTAGTCACCCAGGAGGTGTAGGATGATGTGTAATGATCAGCTTCAGCTCTACTCCTGGTGCTGTGGTCATTTCCCCTGTGCAGGTGATCCCTGGGGCTGGGCTGCTCCAGCAGAAGGTGGCTGGTTGCTGAAGGAGGGAGTAGCTGAGGCTCATAGATATGCTGCCTGCATCCCTGGTGGGACATGAAGGATGGAGTCTGAGCTGGTCTTTGTTCTGATGGTTAGAATTTGTCTTTGTCTGAGGCCAGAGGCCAGAGTTTGGTTGTGTAAGTGCTTTGGAGGGTGGACAAACAGCGTCTGTTGCTCTGGCTACAGCAGTGAAGTCCCCAGAGCATGATGCTGTATCTTAGAGTGGGCTGATGCTTCTTTTTAGTCACTCTCATAGTTTTTACATGTTAAACAGTCTAGGAGAGGAAGCCAGTGAATTAAATCACTGAATTTGATTCAGTGAAGCTGAATTCATCTGCAACACCATGTTACGAGTTCCCTCTCAGACTGCTTGTCTAAAATGGTGAAGGTAGATGGGAGAAGAAAGGGAAGGGTTTAATTTCCTTCAGGGGAAACTTTGCTTTCAAGAGTTTAAGGGATGCTGCTTCAAACCATATGTTGTGTGTTTTTAAATGTCCTAAACTGTCTCTGCAAATGCTTGCTCTTGAACATGAGGACTATTTCTGGACCTGTTGCCAAGGCAGTGCCAAGCTTCTGCTTGAGGCTTGCACCCTTATTTCTTCTCAATTTAGCTGTCTTTTGAATGTAGAAATTGTTCTTGGCCCTGTTTCTTAAGTATGTGGGACTTCTGAAGGATAGACAGCACTCTGTTTCTTGACTTGGGTGACTGCTGAGGTCATGCAGCACCTCCCAGGAGGAGGCTAGTTTGATTAACCATGTCCAGCTGAGCTTTGCTGGACTCCAGAAATAGGCACATCTGAGACTGAAAGGAGGATGCTCAAAGTTGGCTTGAGTCTGCTATTGCATTCCTGGAATATTTGGCTTGGTAATACCCCTGAGCATCCCTGTTTGTGGCCCTAGTGAAGTGCTGAAGTATCTGAGAGCCTGCAGGACGTGGGGTCTGCTGTTTCCTCATGAACGACAGAGGAAATCTCACAGCAACCAGCTACAAGCATTTTGAAGCACTGAAGAGTTATATTGACATTGCTTGGGGATCAAATGCATGGTCAGAATCTGTTCTGATGCTCCATTCCTCTTAAAATGTGGTGTTTTGCTTCCTTTCAGAGAAGCAGAATCATTCAAGGAACAAGGAAACGCATACTACGCCAAGAAAGATTACAATGAAGCATACAACTACTACACAAAAGCCATAGGTGAGAAGAGTTGGTAATAATATTTGCTGAATACTGTGTCTGAAAATCAAAGCTGGTTATTGATTTAAAATACACTAACAGGGTTTCTAACAGCACATGCTGGATAAAATCTTTTTGCCTGCTTGTGAAATTTCACCAGATGTGTAACACAAGTCAGTGCCACTGTGGGTGATGGCAGCAGTTCTTTGTTTCTCCTGCAGCCAAGGTGTTCTTAACATGAAACCAATAAAACATCTCTGCTACTGTGGGGTCAGCAGTGCTGCCAGACCAAACACCACACACTTGTTCCAGATGAGTGTATTCCCATGTATAGTGTGGGGAGCAATAGTTTTTTGACTTGCTGTTCAAAACAAACACTTGATATCATGTGTCATCTTAACCCATTCAGGTGACGTTTTAAATTGGGAGGGAATGTAAGTTTTTAATCCAACCCTGTCTTTTTAGCCTATTCTACGAGTTGTGTAGCTGCTTGTGTCGCACTAACAGTGAGTGCTCTTACATCTCCAGACACCTGTCCCAATAATGCCAGTTATTATGGGAACAGAGCTGCCACACTCATGATGCTGGGGAGGTTCCGAGAAGCACTGGGAGATGCTCAGCAGTCTGTCAGATTGGATGATAGTTTTGTGAGGGTATGTGGAAAACTTCATACTTCTTCATGTCCCAATGTCCTTGTCTCCACCTGCTGCACCTCTTGCAACTCCCTCCTAACTGTCCCCTCAGGGCCATCTGCGGGAAGGGAAGTGCCATCTCTCCCTAGGGAATGCCATGGCTGCCAGCCGCTGCTTTCAACGAGTTTTAGAACTGGATCATAAGAATACCCAGGCACAGCAAGAGGTAAGAGGCTCTTAACATTTAAATATTCCCAATAGATGGGCCTGTCAAAGGGAATGGATTCATCTGATAAGCCTTTTGCTTCAAATTTGCAAGGTAGAATTACAGTCATCGTTAGTAATGACTGTTTGCAGGCTGTGAGGTAATGGGGAAAAATGAGACGCTGTCAAAGTCTCTGTATCTCTTTTTCAGTAGACAGCCAGGCTGCATAGTTACTCTTGTGTGTTGTTGTCTCTTCTTAGCAGAAGAGCATGGAGGCTAAACTGGTCTTTCACCCAGCACTCCAGAGGGGAAATGCTGGTAAGGGAGCACGGAAATGGGTGATGCAGCATGTAGAAGGCTGCTGCCATTTTTGTATCTCACTCACACGGGTACATTTTCCTGGGCTACCAGTTAGGTCACTTGATTTCAAACTGATTTTAGTGCCTGGGGAAAGTATTCATGTAATCTGCATTGTTGTTCCATGTTCTGCCATAGTTTTTGCTCTGACAGTTGGGGGATTGGCTGCTTAAATACCACCTGATGGTGTTTCAAACCAGTGACTGTCCTGCAACACTTGCTGTGTTCTCCTGTCTTTCAGCTGAAGAATGCCAGTACTGTGCTGGAGTATGAAAAAATAGCTGAAGTGGATTTTGAGAAACGGGATTTCAGGAAGGTGAGATTAACTCGATTGTTTCCTGTAGCATTATGACCTGACACGTTGTGCCTGGCCAGTTCAGCCAGCTGCGTGTCTCATTTCCCTGCCTGCGTTAGCTGGGCTCTAACGGGAGCTGCTGTACAACATCCTTTTGCTATTGAAGCACGACTGCCTTGTGAACTGTAATAGCTGTGAAAACGGCAGAGCTCGTGCTCTCTTAGCACTGAAAGAATGAGAAGTGAAGAGGGTGACTGGTTAGGGCTGAACATCTTCTGTTGCTGTTTGCTTTGCAGGGTGAGTGGAACCATCAATGAGCTGTTTGATACAGATTTTGTCAGCAGCAGCAGCAGCATTCGATCTCGCTTTGCTTCTAAAATGCATATCCAGGATTCTTCTTTCTTTAATTAAAAAAAAAGGCAGTCTATCTGCCAGTGCTATAGCGAGGGGGTTTGAAGGAGGAACGCGGATCTGCGTGGGTCATTCTCCGTTACTGTTTCCAAATCTTTCTTCCCAAGGGCTGTGACAGGATGTAGCTGGTGCTGACCTGATACAACAGCATGAAATCTGAAAGGCACCAAATAACTTCTCATGCAACTGTTTCTGTTCGATGGATGCATTTGGCTCAGAGACTGTCCAGCACGTTAAGCTCATTGTTCAGGTCACTGACTCTTAAACTAAGCTCAAGATTTTGGAAGGGTAAATCCCAGCTTTGTATCCCCTGGATATGAGGAGCACATGGGATGCGTGGTCAGTCTGGATTTCACGTGTAGGAATTGCCCTGCCTGTACTGCATGTTCTGGGCTATTGCATCTGTCCCTTCACTTCTCCCGTCTCACTTCACTTGGGGAGGCTTGCCTGAAATGTGATCTTTGTTCCTGGAGAGCTGCTCTTGCTCCTTCCTCACCCAGAAGCCACTGGCTTCTCAGTCTGGAGCACAGTGCTTCCCACAGCGGGCAATCGTGATGTCACGGGCTGGGGAAGCAGATGAACCTTGGTGGAACAATGACCCTGTTCTCATGCAGATGTCCCCACCAGAGAGGCAGAGATGGAAAAGACCCATTAGATCACCCTGCCCACTGCAGTCAGACCACTGTAAGATCATCCCTGCACTGTACTTTTTTGTGTTCTGTCCAGTCCAAACTGTCTCAATCTATTGAATTACTGTCCTTCCCACATGTCTTTATAATGCAGGAAACAGGGGCAGAATTGTCTTCCTTGGCTTTTTCTTTAGGGCCTACAGTTTCAGAAGAGTTAAATAGAGAGACTTTCTACAGGTGTCCCTCAAATCTTCTCTGTAGGGCTGTGTCACAGTAACGTAGCAGGTGGTACAGAAAGCCCTTTAGAAGACAAAACAAAAACCCTGCACATGAGGAACATTTTCTAAGGAAATAGGTGTCTGCGTGCTTATCTTCCTGTCCAAAGACAAAGCTGAAATCTCACGGGTGGTAATGGTGCAGCCTTTCACACCAGGCCTTTGGCTCTTTGCTTTGCTCACACTTGTGTTTTTTTCTCCCACTAGGTTGTATTTTGCATGGATCGTGCTTTGGAGTTTGCTCCTGCTTGTCACCGATTCAAAATCCTCAAGGCTGAGTGTTTAGCATTACTGGGTCGCTACCCAGAGGCACAGTCTGTAGCAAGGTGAGCATCTGAAGGCCTAGAGCTTGAGTAACAGCTGGTGGTATGTCCTGGCTGCTGCTTGTTTTCCACAGCCTGGAATTAATGAGAGAGTATAAAAAAGAAATAATCCATTAATGCAAATTGTGATGAGGAAGAATGCATGAATTTTTCCCCTTTAAAGTTAATCTTACCAGGAAGCTGTGTTTAGACTCCGTTCATAACCAGCAGTTTTGCTTGAGCAAGTTCCTTTTTGCACATCTGGACTTGATAAAATAAGTAAATATCTCAGTAGAGAAAGAGTTCTTCTGGAGATCAGAAGGAAACTGGAATAGGGAAATGTTTTATTTTGATTTTTAATATGTCTGTTACAGTGACATCTTACGAATGGACTCGACAAACGCAGACGCTCTGTATGTCCGTGGTCTCTGCCTTTATTACGAGGACTGTATTGAGAAGGCAGTGCAATTCTTTGTCCAAGCACTCAGGATGGCTCCTGATCATGAGAAAGCATGTCTTGCCTGCCGTGTAAGTTGTGGATACTGGGGATGGGACTGTAAGTTGACAGAAAATCTTATTTTAACCAAACACCTGGCTTGGCTCTGTTGGACCGATCCCTTCTCCCAGCTGCTGGAGCAGAGCAGTGACTTTATCCTGCACTGGTGTCTGGAACCAAATTATAATGGCTTATGTTTTACCTTGCCCAGCAAAATAAGGTGCTTGGTACCCCTTCACCACCTACCTAATGTCCTTATCCAGGTTTTGTTTTCTTTCAGAATGCCAAAGCACTTAAAGCAAAGAAAGAAGACGGGAATAAAGCGTTCAAAGAAGGAAACTACAAGCTAGCATATGAACTGTACACAGAGGCACTAGGAATAGATCCAAATAATATAAAAACAAATGCCAAACTCTACTGCAACCGGGGAACGGTTAATTCAAAGGTAAGAAGTGGTCACCTGTCAGGTAGTCTTTGATCATATTCCTTCATCACATAGTTTATAAATTGCAAATGAGTTATTCTGGAAAGCAGAGGCTTCTCTGGCTGCTGGGGCAGCTGGATCTCTCTAGTGCTGTGGGCAATGTTTCAGGTTTTTGTACTTGCACAATGATTGGATCTGTTCCAAACAGCCAACGAGGTTGACTCCTGAAGAAACAAAACTGAAATACTTGGGCTGCACAGAGTAGGAGGGAGAGAAGGAATGTGGTTAAGTCTTATCTTAATCAGCATAAAGGCATTCTTATTTGTTTCCTTTCTAGTAATGAAAAGATTTCTTTTCTTATTCTTCTTGTAGATCTTGTCTTTGTTTTTTGATCTAAAAAGAAACCAACCTAATTTAAAAACTGTGGATACTTTTCCCAGGTTTGCTGTTGCATTTTAGTCATACACAATCCAGAGAAACAGTCAATCATGTGATAATGCTTCAATTTTCCACCCTGTGTTTCCTTCAAGTATGTTTCCTCCTCAGCTGTCTCTGTGTTGGTTCCTGCTCTGACAGCAGCAGGGCTTTTCAACACCCGACTTGGTCAAGAGACAGAGGCTGTTCTCAAAACCTGGGAACTGGGATCAACTGGAGGCAATGGGAATGGATATTTACATGACTGTTTCTGTCTGAAAACAAAACAATGCTTTTTTTAAAAAAAATTGTAAATATTTAAGTGTATTTTCCTGTCTGGGAATTAGTTTGACTACAGAATAACTTGGTTTTCAGATCATTCTCAGGAAAACCCTTGTTTCCAAGTGCATTTCTAAAAGAGAAGCACCAAATAGTTCTACCATTTCACTAACCAAGCTTCTCCTTTTTTCCTAAAGAACAAAAGCTCTGTGTTTTGGGGGGAGTGGAAAAAAATTCCTAGATGCAGACACAGAAAACAGTGAGATGTTCCAAGATTCTTTACACCTGTCATCTGCCTAAAATCATAATGCTATTTAGAAGTCTTTGTTCTCTGATTGGGACTCACCTCACCTCTGTCTGCCATTTTAGCTTAGGAAACTTGAAGAAGCAATAGACGACTGCACGAATGCGGTAAAACTGGATGACACGTATATCAAAGCATACTTGAGGAGAGCACAGTGGTAAGTAGACCTTTATAATGGACGTGCTGAGCAGGTTTGTGGGGAGGAACCTCCTCCCTACAGCAGTGAGTGACAGGGATAACAAATCTGAAGCTTAACAGAATAAAAGGTTCTGTCTTAAGGGGTCCTGAGTTTATTCCTGTTCCTTATGCTGCCGAGGAGATGAGGGAAGCTCTGTGTAGTCTGTCCTGCCTGCATGGATTTGGCACTGCCTATTGATTGCTGTGTTTAGGCAGGATTTGTTCTAAAGCTTGACTTATGTTTATAGACTAAGATAAGATGTCCTGTCCCAGAGAGCCTCTCTTAAGCTTTTTCAGGAGGGCTGCTGCAGGTAAGAGATCTTATCCTGGCAGTCACACTTCCAGCAAACCTGATTTTGAAATGGGATGCCCTGGTTCTCATAAAGGAGAAATCAGCTGAGACTGTCTGTTTCAGCCATGGATAATACTGCAGCGTAGTGCAATGAGGCTGAGCAAGTTGTACAAAGGAAGCTCAGGTCTGGATGTCTCCTTTGTAACTTGGCACCAACCAGGGAAGCAGTCAAAGTTCTGACTATGGATTTATTTGCTGCTTTTGTCAATACTGATTATTCCCCAGTTTGTGGCAAAGCTGCCCAGCTTATAGAGGAACCATACCCATTATTGTAGCTTTCCTGTTGTGCATTCATTTTAATTTACAGCCTTCAGTGTTCTTCTCAAGCTCCATCTCAATAATTGCTAAATTCCCACAAATAGCAGATCTGGGCTTCCAGTCAGTCCAGCAGTGACCCTTTGTGGGGTCGTTAATGATTGCTCTTTCTGCAGTCCAGTGGATATCTCCTCATTAATTCATATCCATCCAGAAAACTTGTACCTGAACCCCCTTTTGATATTTCCTATAAGTGCACCTTGGCCACTAGTGTTTCTTTCCACAGTTACATGGACACAGAACAATATGAAGATGCTGTAAGAGACTATGAAAAGGTTTATCAGACAGAAAAAACAAAAGGTGAGCACAGTGGCATTCTTTTTGTGTGCACGAGTTTCCCCTAGCTGGCAATTTTCTTGTTGCTTTTGTTTGCTTTTTTCCCCCCACAATATGCTCTGATTTGCAGCCTTTTACTCCAGCAGGACAATACTGGAAAAGTCCTCAGAAGCACTCTGAAATGCTTGTCTCAGAATCTGGTTTCTTTCCCAGCATTGACTGCTGAGAAGATAATTTAGCTTGGAGCTGAAGCAGTGCACTAGATTCGGAATATCTGGTTATGGTTCTTAACTGTCATCTTTGCTTCTTTAGTAGCCTGAATTGAAATGACAGAGTAACCTTAGTCTTTGTGGCTCGGTGTCTAGTACTGGTTTAATAGCACTGAGATGTTTATCTACATGTGGAAACAGCCTTAAGTGGACGGTGAGGCTTTAATTAGCTACCTGACTGTAAATCCAAGTGGGTTGGTTACTTGTGGCACTTGAATCCTTCAACCCATGTGATCTCAACATGTTGATCTTCAACCTCTTTTAAAGCAGGAAATTGTACCTGATGTTAAAGCCACTTTCCTTTGGCATTGCACTTCTTTCTAGAACACAAACAACTCCTAAAGAACGCACAGGTGGAGCTGAAAAAGAGCAAACGGAAAGACTACTATAAAATCCTTGGTGTGGATAAAAATGCTTCTGAAGATGAGATCAAGAAGGCTTACCGGAAAAGAGCACTAATGCATCATCCAGGTACCCACAAACAGTCTGTTAGTGAAGCATATATTGTTGCTTTGATCCCCTTGCTCCATGCATATGCCCTGCACAGCCATCACTCAGAGGCAGGAATAAATATGAGAGAGGGAGTTTCTGGACAAATAACAGTTCTGACCCCCCGGATCTCAAATACTCACTGTGACAGTAGCTGTCCATGTGCAGCGTTTTCCATTTACACTAGAAATGAAAAGCTTCTTTCCTGCTTGTTTTTGTATCCCTAGACCGACACAGTGGGGCAAGTGCAGAGGTACAGAAGGAAGAGGAGAAGAAATTTAAGGAGGTTGGTGAAGCCTTTACCATCCTGTCAGATCCCAAGAAGAAGGCACGCTACGACAGCGGGCAGGATCTAGAAGAGGATGGATTGAACACAGCAGGTAAGTGTTCCTTAGGATGTTCTGCCGTGACAGACTTTAAAGAGATTAGTCCATTTACAGTCTGCCTTCTCCTCTAAAGCAAACCTCCCATTTGTAATAATTCCTTGAATTGACTCGGATTGGTCTCTGAAAGCATTTGCATGGCAGATCTGCAGTGAATGTTTTGAGGTGTGAGCAGTCTAGGTTACCTGCTGGATGTTATCCCTGATGGAGCTGGTAGGTAATAGCTGCCATTAGGCACAAGTCTTTTGTAGGAAGTGTAAATAGCGTAACAGGAAGATTGTGGATCACTAAATGCTGCTTATCCAAAATTCTTCAGTTGCTCTTGTGACTGAAATTCTCTCTCTGACAACTGTTGCTTTTACCTGATTTCTGCTAGTTGGGGCCCTGTGCTCCACTGCCGTGCAGCAGTGCTCAGAGCAAGCTCTTTGTTTGTAGCTTTTTGTCCATTTATAAAAAGCTTTATAGGCCCTCAATTAAGTGACAATTTCTAAAGTGTGAAAAATGTAACTGCCTGTTTCACTTCAGCTCTCAACTTCTTTTTCTTCCCCGTAGACTTTGATGCAAATAATATCTTCAAGGCCTTCTTTGGTGGGCCAGGTGTCTTCAGTTTTGAAGGTAGGTGGAAGTGTTCTGTCAGCTTTGGAAAGGTAAGTAAGCAAATCACTTAACAGGACAGCTGTGTTTCCCAGAGACCTTGTGCTGTTCAACAAGAGTATTTGACTTGCCCACATAAAAGTATCTGGGAGCTCTTGGAAAGCTCCCTGCACAGTGTCCCAGCTGATGGCCCATTCTGGTTCTTTCATGTTCAAAAGCAACACACAGCTCTCTCCTCTGGTTTCATAAAGCTGTGAATCCTCCTGAGGGCCTCCACCTGCAAGCATTTTGAGGTGACCAGAGGCCATGAAGAAGCTGTTACTCAATGTCCCTTCAAATCTCACGTGTGGCCAGGCTTTCTCCACACACCTGGGAGAAGGATGGCTTTATACAGCACAGAGCAAGTGCTCAGCACTGAGCTGGTGTCAGCAACCCCTTAGGGAAGCGTCTGTTTCTTAAGGTCTTTAGTTAAGTGAATGTTGAGGTCTTGCAAGCTTCCTGTGCTGTTTATCTTCCTCCTTGTAAATCAGCCTCCTTTACCCATGTTCTCAGTCTGTGTTGGGAATTAGCTGCTGGAATCACACAGCAAAGATCTCACCTCTCCTGCCTGTTCAAATGGGTTTGTTTGGATTAAGAACTTGGCATCAAGCTGCTGCAGGATAGTAGTTAACCATATTGTCTTTGAATTTTGAAAGCACTAATACCTTTCATTTTCTTTTTCAGCTTCTGGGCCAGGAAATTTCTTTTTCCAGTTTGGCTAAAAAAAAACCCAAACCCCACACATACCTGATCTGCTTATTTTAACCTTGAATACGGACATACTTAGACTCCTTCCTTCATCCTGTCTCATTGTACTTAGAGCAGTTTCATTTTTCTCGGTTGGAGACCTCTGTTTTGTGTGCTTTTGTGTGTGAAGAGGAAACCAGCTCGGGGAGGGGAAGGCTTGTGAATTTTGTTTTATTGTTAACTTTATTAAAAAAAAAAAAAAAAATAAAGCTTTGAATCTTTTGGTCCCTCCATGCTGGCCTGTACTTTCAGACTGTTCCTGCTCCTCAGCAGAGAGGATTTTCCTGAAGTCCTCCCGGAATCTGGACTTGGAAGAGGGTGAAGTAATCTCCCGTTTTGCTTTGGTTGGCTCTGAAGTGCAGTATGGCAGCATGTCTGGGGTTTGTAGTAACTTGTAAGTTACCTTAATCTTCTGAAACTATTGCCAAGATTCAATCGAGTTTCATACAATCGTGGTTTACCTGCCAGCTTTCTTTTCTTTTTTTTTTTGTTCTTTTTTTTTTTGCCATGGTTCTACCAGAACAGTACACTTGGGCATTAACTTAAATGATAACGTGTGAGCTTAACATTTGATACCAGAGAAATGCTTCTTTGGATTTAAAAGAGCAGCCTATGTGAGAATTCCCTGTGATGCAGCTGGAATTAAGAGCTTTGTGTTTCTGCTCCAAGAATTGTCCTGTTCAAGGGAATATTGAATTTGCTCTGGCCTGAACTTCTTCACCGTGTGCTTTTTTTTTTTAAATTAATCCACGTGAACATTTAATATTTGTGCTAAAACTTGATTTTGTTGAGCTTGATGTTCGATTTCCTGTTATTGATCCGTAACGTGGATGAACTCTTTCTAGCTCTGAAGAAATGCAAAGTAATATTCAGGTTAATAATTGCAAACGGTTACTGTGTGTGCAGCAGTGTGCTCTCACAATGTTTACAGGAACTGTACAGATACGTTAAACTAGCAGAGTAGTTTTCAACTAGAAGTAATTTACTAGTCCAAAGAAGCAAGAAAATGCAAAGTCCAACTCTGAACTGACAGTCTGTCACTTGCTTCTCTTGCACAATGTTGGGACGAGCGCTGGAGGGATGAGCTTACGGCCTGGAGCTGCGCGTGGCTGCGCTGTCTGCCGTTGAGGACGGGTTTGGCTCGGTGGTACTGCCGGTGAACAGCAATGCTGGTTTATTTTTCACCATAGATGTAGTGTCACGGCAAGATCTCAGCTGAGAGAGGACTCTGCTTCCAGAATTCTTCTCTTATTTCTAGTGAGTGAAGAACCCTGTTGACTTGGTGCTTTGTTCAAGTTAAGCGCTGTCTGTAAATGGGGTCTGGAGCGCAGCGCGCGGCGTTGTCCGACGGCTTCGGGCAGTCTTGCTCAGCAGTGGGGTTTGAGAGAAAGTTGTGTTGGCACTGGCAGCTCCAGCCAGAAGGGCAGAGTCTCAGCAGCGTTGCTGGACCCGGAGCATTGTGGACTGAGCTGTGGTCGCATAGTGGTGTTGGAAGGGGTGAGTTTTACGTGGCTGAGAAAACGGGTGTTCGTGCAAATCCAAGCAAGGCTCTTCCTAGAGAAACCTGACACTGACTTTTGTATAATACCTGATTTAACTTCTTACTGCAGGAACAGGAGTTGCAATGAATTCATTGCATGAAATGATTCCTTTGAAGGCCAACATCTTTGTCTTCCTTCCTTTTGAGGGCTGTACTGTCCCCCTCAGTGGGACAGAGTTGCGAGGCTGCGATGCAAATTCACTTCACATCCAGCAGTTGCAATAGTCGTGGTGCTGCCGCCGCTGAGCACCACAGTCCTGGGCTTGTGTGTTTGTCAGCATTTTTGACAATCTGCTTTCATAGAGGGAAGGTTTAAGGGCTTAAATTGTAGTACTGCAGAATAAAGAATTTTATAACTCGCTCAAAAGTCAGCTTTTAAAATGAGCCAGTGTGGAGTAATATTTCCAAAACCAGACTCTACAACATTGATTAACTTCCTTCGCCCCAGTGTAACGTGATGGAGTTTCCCGGATTGCACTGAGAGCAAAATAAGGTCCTGGCATCTTTCAGATCACTCTGGAAAGGTGAATACCTGGGGAATTGAAATACTGGTCTATGCACATTGATACTTCTCCAGTTCTCTTGGCACTTGTAAATCAGAGTTTACAGGACCTGTTTGTGTGGCATTCTGGATTCATAACGTCTTGTCCTGTGTGTGTTGATCTTACTGTACAGCTTGGACTTTTCTCAGTCTTTTATCACCGTGCAGGGACGTGTCCTGCATCCGTCAGTGGGTTTTATTCTCATTTTCCCCCTCCCCCAGTTAAGTATGACAGGCTTCCTTCTCTCCAGACTTTGAATGAGACCATTCCTTGGAGGACAGAAGTGGAATGGCTTTTCCTCTGAGAGAGAAAGTGTATCCAGCAGATATTTATAAAACCGTACATGAATGCATGATTTAATGTAGTTAGATACTAATATGATGAATGCCAAGACTTTTTGAAGGGGCACTTGTGTGATTCAAAGTGAAGGGGAACTCCTGTTGCCTTTTGCACAGAGCTCTGGGGTCTGAGCGGCGTTTGGTGACTCCGTTACCTCTGACAGCGCCTGGAGATAGAGGTGCAGTGGCATTGTCACCTCCACTGTGTCCTAGCACGGCTTGGAGACACGGGACTCTCTTTCTGTCAGAAAAACCTGCTTAGGTGTGTGTTGCTTGAAGCGTTGCCTTTCACACTTGGTAGTTCCCAAACATTATTCCTGGGTTGTATTTCACGTACAGCCCCAGGAGCCTCAGTGCCATTTTCCAGCTGCTGCCGCTCTGCAGACCCCCCTGGCTTCCTTCGGCTCGATAGGAGCCACCAGACGTAGGAATTTGCCACAGGTAATGATTAAGTATCCTGTGCTTTTTCTGGGATGATCAAGAGCTAATGAAGGTGGTCAGAGGCGGTTGGTGTAGGTGATGCCCTTGGAGCACAAGCTTGGTGGGATGGACGTGCACTGAGCCTTATTCCGAAGGGTGCTGTTCCCTTTGGTGTGACCGTGGGCCACCAGGTGAACTTGGCATGTGGAAGAAACTGATGGTAAAGCCCTTCCTTTGAGTGAGGAGGGTTCTCTTTCTGGAAGTCAAGTCTTTGTAATTACCAAAAGGTTTATTTTTTGGTGTAACAACAAGAGCCTCAACACTCATCCCTGAAACGCACCTGAACGTGCCCCAGGCTGCTCCACCTGCAGTCCCATGTGCCAGGATCTGTGTGTGACCAGCCCAGGTACAGCAGCTCTGCTGCACTGTCCACCGTGGCCCCTCAGCCTGACAGCTCCTGCCCGCTGCTTCCGAAGAGGAATGGTTGGTGCTGCCACAGCTCTTGCGTGTGGGGAGTGCCCGGAGGTGGCAGAGCTGACGTGGCTGGAAGCCCGGCCAGGCTGGTGTGGAAGGGAGGGATCTTCAGCGGGTGTGATGGAGGGAATTGCTGTTGAACTGGATGAGTGGCTGTCAGCTTCTTCCCTGAAAGTCGTGAACTAGGAGGAAGATTGTGAGTGTGGCTCTTGGCAAACCAGGCGTGTGGAGCGAGGCTCCGTTGTCGTGACTGTAGTGTTTGCAAGGAGATAAGGAATTGTTTGACTATGACGCTTTCCCTCTGCTGTTTTTTTTGCCTGATGTTGGTACTCGTGGTGTCTGAGCTGCTCTAGGGATAGTTTCAAAGTCAAATGGAGGCAATTTCATGCTTTAAAAATGAGAAGGTGCACCAGTAACGTTGGTGTGTGGGAGATACTTGCATGTACAGTGGTCTGACCTCCAGACCACAACGCCTGGTGTGTTCTTTCTTGTGTGGATTTACTTTACAAATCTGATGCTGTGTCAGCTCCACCTTTTGCAGGGGAGTATTGAGAGTCCTCTCCAGATACACTGAACCTGGACTTGAAATCAGCTGTAAAGCTCATTACGATGCTTCTGGCTGCCCACTTTGACTGGCTCTTTGTTGTTTCTGCTACACACGCTACATAGGAAAGTACCTGGTTTTGTTTGTGAACTTGGAGTGTTGCTGTGAAGCCGGATCCTTAGTGCTCAAGGCTTCTGACTGTTTTGTAAATACATTAATGCAAATTGAGAAGAGGAGGGTAAAGAAAAACAAAACAAAAATATTTAGTGACAACAGTATTATTATCCATGGAATATTTCAAGTCCCTCAGCTTTCTGTATCTGAGGGGGATCTGAGCGAAGTTGTTTTGTTTCCGATATGGAACTGGCTCAGCTCCTGTGCCCACCCGGGAGCGCTGGTCTCCGAGGCGGCCGCGTGCTGGAGCCTGTGCTCGGCCAAATTTGAATGACCAAAGCGTTTGGACCACGCAGTGGTTTGCTCTTCTTTCAAAATCCTTTCCTCAGTTTCAGTAATAACTAAAGATATCCACTTATCTTCAAGTGGATGGTTTTAATCCTGTTTAAATTTGTGCCTTGTACCCTCCCCTTTCCTGGGCAGAAAGGGCAGCTCCTGGGTGGCACCTCCCCGCGTGTCTCTGGTCAGGGCTGAGTCCACCTCGGGCTGTCACGGTCGTGCTGTGACCAAGGCTGTGGGTGGCAGACGAGGTCACAGCAGCTCTGTGACCCTCTGTTTTGGAGGCCACTCGTGTGCAGCCGTGCTGCCTTCTGGAGATGTCCCTCTTGTCCCTGCTTACCGGGGCAGCAGGACCTGTGCGTGGCTTTGAAAGAGGATGTGTAATGCCTTGGCCTTCCACGGCGTGCCCTGGCTGTCCCCGCTCCTGCCATCAGGGACAGGATTATCTCTTCTTCTTTGATTAGTGCTGGGCAAGTTTTCACTCTGGTGTAGATCTGAGCACTGCAGGAAAGCTCTGGTGTGAGATGTGAGGGGCATCGTCTGCAACATGGTGTTACTGAGCTGGAGCTCCGCATGGTCATGGTGGCTCGGGAAGGCAGGAGTTTGGTGGGAGAGCTGGGATGCTGCCTCTGCTTGCAGGTCTGGCCAATCTGACCTCGATTACCCACCTTCCTCCCTGCGTGCACCTCATAGCTTGTGCTTCAAAAGAGAAAACCACGTGAAGCAACGTTGGAGGGGTTGAGCGTGAAACAGCAAACTGAGCACGTTCATTGCATGCCCGTCTGCTTTGTTGTAACATTAAGGAGTAGTCCAGACAAAACCAGACGCCAATGTGAAGCCAACTTGGAGAGGATGCTCGAGCCTGTGCTGCTGTCTTCATCCGAATCGAAATTCTGACTGTTTACCTCAGTGTAAATCCCGTAACCCTTCCAGGGGGGGGAAAGGCGCCTCGCACGGAGCAGTCGCTGCCCTGTCGCTTTGCCAAACACATCATCCTCCCCAAGCCGGGCTTCACATCGGTACGAACACTGTCCCTCCTCAGACCCTTCCCTTTCTAGGATGTGAATGGTAAAAATGTGAATATTTGTTGTTTACTTCATTAGGCATAATTCATAATGATGTGTTTATATGAAGAATATCACAGACTGAAGCGAAACCATATGCAATTGGTTTACTTTATTATAAACTGTATATGATGTACAAACTAATAAAAACTGAAATGACGACAGTCTCACTGTTGTTCTTGAACAGGCAAATAAACAAGACATTCCAGCTGTGCATTTCAGCGCTGGATGTGAGCTGGAGTGTGGGGTTGTTCCCAGGGCACTGGGGGAGAGGGGTCAGCGTGGTTCTGCAGGAGCTGTCTTGGGCAGGCGCTGGCAAATGCGCTTTCAAAGCTTTGATGGAACAAACGTATGGAGATTTCTGGTGGGAAAGGCCCAAGTGGCCCCTCTGCCAGTGCAGAAGCGAGCAAGGGTCTCTCTGCTGAAGGCCAGGGAGGGTTACAGGTGCTATGGGGGTGTACACGTATATTTTTTCTATGTTATAATGAGAATTTATTGTCATCCATCTCCTTGAAACAGCGGGAAGTGTGTTGCTCTGTTGGTGAGCTTGCGGAGTGTTTACCAGACCAGCCCCAGAGCACTCCCTGCTCTTGTTTTAAGCATTGAGAGGACAAACGCTTCTTGCACAGGCAGCATCCGACTTCCCAAGCAGCGCTTTCAGCCGTGCCCACACGACAGCCCCTTCCCAGGCAGGACCCAGCACACGCTTGTCAAACACAGTAAGTATTTACACACATTAATACGGGGTTAATTTCACTGCACAGCTCACCAGACGCTGAGCCAGAGCGTGAGTTTAAACTTGTCCTGACCCGACTCCGTTAGCTGAGCTTTGTGTTAGGGTGAAGCAGTGCCCATGTACCCCCTGCCCAGCTGGCAGAGGGTCTGGCTAACAGCAAAAATCAAGTTTTGATAAAACAGATTTAATAACAGAAGTGCTTGATCATTAACTGCAGTTCCAGCCAATGGTTTAGGTTTGAGCAGACTTAAGTTACGCAGTTACGGTACCTCCACTTACGTCCTAAATTACAGTGTTACTGCCATCCTACCTCTTAACATCCAAGTGCATTAGAGAAAGTAGTAAAATCTTGCATGAAGTACAGGTCTGTACTTCAGACATGATTTTAGTTTCTGTAAAATAAGATGGAAGAGATGTTTGTTCATCTCTTCTGCTTCCTGCCAAGGCAGGATTGTTCCCTACAGGACAAGGATGCTGGACGGTGCTTGGTCCAGCCCACTCAGACATGGGAAGTGAAATGACTGGAGCTGTGCTGCAGGAACCCAACGCCTCTCCTGGTATTTCACTGGTTTCAAGTCCATGGCAGCTCTTTAAGATGTTCTCTGGCAACGTGCTTTCCCTCTGTCCGCTCACCAGCACGTCTCTTCCCCGCAGTGAAGGAACCTTCACGTGCAAACGGTGAATGAACTGGGGTGGAGCGCGAGTTCTCTTCTTACCAGCTAAACTGTTAGTAACGCCGCGCTTGACAGAGTGATCCACAGTTGGGTCTTGCTGGTTTTGACCCAGTAATTGAGCTACCAGCACGACTGCTGTCCCTCAGGTGTGGGAGAAGGGGAGAGACGTGACCCAGTTCACTTGGCTTCAGGCCGGTTATGTACAGGCTTTGGTCTGCCACTGCTTATAGTGCTGACATGTAAAGATCTAACGATTGTGGTTCATTGGGAAGTTATAAAAGACCGCAGGAGATCTTCCTCCAAGGAAGAAAACAAGCAGAACCCCATGGCTGGTTCTCTCCAGAGCTCTTCCTTTAAAACACGCTCGGCAGCACTTCACTTGCTGCCATCACTTCTGGGAGCGTGTCCCTTTGTCAGTCAGGAGTTGCTTGTTTTCTTCCTTGTTCTGAGGCCAATAAACTCTCTCCCCAGAGACGCTTCACACTGGGGTTGGCAAAAGGGCTTACTTAGTACAGGTAGAATTATTTCTCTTTACACTCTAAAGGTTACAGGAGTTATTTGCCTTTTAAAAACAACCAACCAAGCTACCCTGCCCGTGCTCCTAGATGATGGTGCAGGAACTAAAAGCAGAGCCCCGTTTGTTGGTGCTCTGCGTTGGCACAAGTTTTCCTTTTCCATAGTAACCTGAGAATATTGCCTTCACATCGATCTTTTTGGAAAGGACGAGCATCCACATACCGTTACCAAAATACAGCAGTTTCCCTCCTCCAATTTCCCCCACTTCCTCCCCTTTGTTCCCTGCCTTTTCCAGTTTCACAAACTCCAGCAGATCGAGCCCAGTCTGGACCGCTTCGATGGTGTTGGCGCAGCCAAGGGTGATGTGAGCCCGGCTGCCTTTTGGGAGGTTGTCGGCGGGCAGGATCTTATCGGCGTCTCCAGGCCACAGCAGCAGCTGCTGTTCACTCAGCTCCACACGAGCACCAACAGTTTTTGTTGTGATGAAGAGAGCAGAAATGGACAAGGTGAAGCCTTTGCCGTAAGAAGCCTTCACAGCCTGGGAGAAGAGGGAGACAAGCCCAGAACAAAGCTTTACCTGGGTGCAGACAGGTGCGATCTGCAGCTTTGGGGACTTTGTTGTCCACAAGCTCAGGGTCTTGGCTGATCACAGTAGCTCTTGCTGTGACATATTTGAAATACTGGGTGAAACTACAAGATCATGGCCTGAAGCTCCTGCTCCATGAATTTGGAGCTGGTTTTCCCTTCACAAATTTAACTTGGACTCATCTGTTTTGAAATAATTGAGCTGGAGGTGCAAATACCTCAACGCATCATCATTCAATCCAGGCTGTGGGGGTGACAGGGAGGGACAACAGGAAACAAATGGGAAACAGTCACCATCTCTCCCACAGTTACGATTTTTCTACTGCACAGGCCACATGGACGCTGTCCCCACAGGTGCCCTCTTGGCTCCAAGCAGAGCCGTGTCCCCAGCCCACCCCG